TCTCTCTCTCTCTCTCTCTCTCTCTCTCTCTCTCTCCCGCTCTCTCTCTCCCTCTCCCTCTCTCCCGCTCTCTCTCTCCTTTTCCCCCTTCTTTGTCTTCCTGTACATAATGTAAATTACAAACTTACTTATATGAAAATATAGTTCTAAGCTTACATGATTATTTATTCATATTTACCAACTTCATAGTTGATAAAATAATTAAAGAATTAAACATAGTTCTGAATTTGTCTCTTCTTCCTTCTACATCAGTTCTTACTCTGTATATCCATCCCTCTCACTGCAGGTAAGGAAAGTCCAGAGAAGCTTAGTGGCAAAGAAGCTACCAGCAGTTGGAAAGGTTTAATGTCCAGAATGCAGAAGAACAGTGAAAAGCCTTCCTTACCAAGTGTTTCTTCTTCCTCTTCAGGACAGGTTAGATATTTTCTTCTATCCTGCAGGGTTTTTTATACTTTTCTCAGCTTTAGAAATTGGGAAATCATGAACTAGTATTTAGGATGTATGAAGCTGAGGAAAGACTTTGTGTTGCTTTGCTTTGCTTTGCTTTTAATTATCAGAAGATATCAGAAGCCAACTTACCATCCTGTGCACATAAATCATATATGTAATGTGGTATTTCTTCTGCACTGTTTTTCTTTCAGCATGCATTCTTAAAGAATGCAGCTTCATATAATGGCAAGGCAATGAATAAAATGATTTGCAGTCAGCTTTTTATAAAGATCAACAAGATCTTTTTGCATATGTACCATGAGATAAATTTCCCCATTTCCGTATGATGATGAGAAATTGAAATTATGATTTTGTTGATTACTAAATAAAGTATATTATTGAATAACAGAAAGATCAGTTGTAGAATATTAACCCTTTGATGCCAGGAATTTGTTTTTACATACATTGTCTGCTGTTTTATGTTTCTTTATTTTATTTACACAGAATGACTTACACTATGGTGTGAAGTACTAGGTCAACTTGGCCTTTCATACCCTATTCTTTGTATTTTTAGGCAGAATTTTGTTTATAATTTCATTATTATTTTATATTGAATAAGGTATAATGGTGATTATGATAGTAACAGTAATAATGATATTTATTACAGTAATAGTAGTAATACAAATGAAAACATTTCTTCCAAAAAATGCACAGGCTAAACAAATATAATCAGGCAGGTAAAGTAATAGACTTCCTGGTGACCAAGCATCTATGAAGCTGTCTGTATGTAAACAATATTGCAAGAACAAATCCACCCATGAACAAAGTATGCATCAGACATCATTGGGCATAATTGTATGTGAAAACATAATTTGAAATTTGTGATGAAGCTTGTAATGATAATACCTTGTCAGATCAGAAAATCTAGTTCCTTCTTTATTGTTGTCAGTATATATGCATATGCTTTATCATATTCACCTACTGTGGGAATATTTTCATAGCAGGAATTTGCTTGCTTTAGAAATACAGAAAGATACTTCTCCAATTTTTCTTTTCAAAAATCTGGATATATCATTAATACTGTATCACCACCACACTACCAATGCTACCTAACCACACAAACACGGAGTCCTGCATACACTCAAGCTTCGCATTACTTTTACTGAATGAATCAATTTTCTTCAATTGCTTTATGCAGCAAGAGGGTAAGGCAGACCAGCAGCAGAGAAGGTGTCCCTTCTACAAATATATTCCTGGTAAGTAAAACCAAAATTAATGTTTAGACAAGGAAACAGTTCAGAATTTTTAGTAATTTTGGATGCCTCTCACTTCATTTCAGATAGTAGTGATATATAGATAAATAGCAAAAACAAATTTTGCATGCACGTTTTTGTTTTGTGTTTGACCACATATAATTCACCAGTATATCGTAATACCGACCTGAAATGTATAATTTACTGCTCTAATCAATCTTTTATGGTAATCCCATGTTAGCTGCTAACTTAGTAATGTTGTATCATATAACTTTCTGTATTAAGGTTGATATATGCCTTGTTAGATGCTGCTTTTTTTATCAATTGGTTGTATGAGAGGGTATTAGTAGTCTACATACTTGCTGGTAGGGCACACTGTATACAAAAAACAGTGGGAGTTAATGTAAATATATTGTTAGTAATACCTTAATGTAAAGTAAAAAACAGAATAGAAACTGTGTAAGATATTCATTACATAACACTTCCTTCCCCCTTAAAGGAAATACAACACAGGCCTTATAAGAGAACATAGTGGGGTATATTGTATAAAAAACTTGTCTAAACTTGCCAAGTATATAGTTATCAGCCAAGTACTTCAGTAACTTTCTTCGGGTTGTTCTTTGAGGAAGTTCCCTTGGTTAAGTACTTGAAATATGTGGTTGAGGATCTTTTACATGTGCCTCATCATTCTGAGAATTTGAGAATATGCAAGTCTCAGGTTCTTCTGTCTCTGGTTGATCTACAACTATCAGCTATCATAGATTGGCATAAGAAAGGACCAGCAAAATCTTTGTGTAACCTTGGCCATGCTGAACTAGGATTTTCCCAAAGATGTGACTTCATTGACATAGGATTCTTCTGTTGTAATGCACATCCCTCACACATCTTTATATACAATTATATACAATTCTATGTCATTATCAATATTTGGCCACCATGTAAATGTATGGGCTATTGACTTGGGTCTTATGATTCCCAGATGGTTTGCTTATGGAGCTTATTGGACACTATTACCATTACTCCCTTCAATATGTAACCTTTCTTTACCGAGAATGCACCCCATGCATCTACAAAAGGTTTAAACCCAGACTGTGTTAGCAAAGCGTTCTTACCAGATATTGTGAAAATGCAGTCGGGTTAACNCCCATTTTTGTTGCCTGCTCCCCTCCCTTCCATCCCCCTCTCTCTCCCTCTACCCATTCCCCCTTCTGTCTCTCGCCCTTTATCCCCTTCCCCTCCTCTACCCCTTCCTATACCATTTCTCTCTCTCTCTCTCTCTCTCTCTCTCTCTCTCTCTCTCTCTTCTCTCTCTCTCTCTCTCTCTCTTCTCTCTCTCTCTTCTCTCTCTTTCTCCTTTCATCTACCCTCCCTCTTTTCAACCCCCTCTCCCTCAACCCCTCCCTCCCTCTCTCTCTCTCCCTCAACCCCCTCCCTCCCCTTCTCTCTCCCTCAACCCCTCCCTCCCTCTCTCTCTCCCTCAACCCCTCCCTCCTCTCTCTCTCCCTCAGCCCCTCCCTCCCGCACTCTACCCTCCCTCCCTCCCTCTATCCTCCCTCCCTCTCAAACCTCCTCCCTCCTTCCCCCTTCCTCTTTTTTCCTCTCTCCCTCAACCCCCTCCCTCTACACTCCCTCCTTCAACACCCTTTCTCCCTCTCTCGACTTTCTCTTCACTTTTTCCTCCCTCAACCCCCCTCCTCCCTCCCTCCCTCAACCCTATATCTCCCTTTCTCCCTCAACCGCCTCACTCCCTTTTCTCCCTCAACCGCCTCACTCCCTCACTCCCTCTCTCCTTTCCCCTTCATCCCTTTATCTCCCTCTCCTTCTCCCTTTATCCCACTCTCCCTCCTTCTCCCTTTCTCCCTCCACAAGCAAAGTGACGAAAGCCTCAGCTGGGGTGTTTTCACGCAGGGAGAGAATACGTCAATAGGGCGTCGATAATCAATCACGTCGTGTCTTTCTTTCTTGGTCTTGTCCCCCTGCTTCTTCTTCTCTTTTTCATCTTCTTTTTCTTGTTGTTGTTCTTCTTCTTTTCTCCTTTTCATCTCATTTCCTTCTTGTTCTTGTTCTTCTCTTTTTCATCTTCTTTTTCTTCTGTTGTTGTTTTCTTCTTCTCTTTTTCATCTTCTTTTTCTTCTTGTTGTTTGTTCTTCTTCTTCTTTTCTCTTTTTCATTTCTATTTCTTTGTTCTTCTTCTTCTCTCTTTTTCATCTTTTTCTTCTTCTTTTCTCTTTTCATCTTCTTTTTCTTCTTGTCTTCTTCTTTTTTTGCTCTTCTTCTTCTTCTTGTTCTTCTTTTTCTTCTTCCTATTATTATTATTATTGTTATTCCTCTTCTTCGTCTTCTTCCGCTTCTTCTTCTTCTTCCTCTTCTTCTTCCGCTTCTTCTTCTTCCGCTTCTTCTTCTTCTTCCTCTTCTCCTTCTTCCTTTGCCTCTTCATCTTCCTCTTCTTTCATCATTTTTCTTCTCCCTTTTCCTTCTTTATATTTGATTTCTTCCATTTCTTATTTTTCTTCTTTTGACATTTTTGTCGATTTTTTCTCTATTTATCTTCCTGTCATTAGCTATCTAATTCTTTCCTTCATCAATCTTTTCGTTATAATTATTTTCTTCGCTTTCATTAAGATCATTATAATCGTTATCATTATTACCTCCTTTATTGTTGTTATTACTATGACTATTTTTATTATCATCATCGCCATAATTATCGTTGATGATAACATTCTTACTATAATCATTATCAATAACTTTAATCATAATCATCATTATCATTTCCATTACTAGTTATAGTAGTTTCAATATTACTATCATTTTTGTTATTATTATTCTATCTATGTTTATGAATATCAAGTTTATGTCATTATTATCCTCATCGGAATATTTTTTCTAATAAACAATATTTTTAGTTATACTACAAGTGCTTCTATAACTACCATTGCCTCTATGCATTATTATTATTATTATTGTTATTATTATTATTATTATTATCTTTACTATTATTGTTATGATTATTATTATCATTGGTGTTGTTATTGTTATAATTATCAGCATTATCTTTATTATCATTATTTCATTATGATCAGTATTATCATTATTATTATTATCTTTACGATTATTGTTATGATCACTATTATCATCATTGATGCCATTGTTATGATTATCATCATTATCTTTATCATTATTTCATTATGATCATTATTATCATCATTATTATTATCTTTACATTATTATTATCTTTACATTATTATTATCATTACTATTATTATTATCATTGTTGTTGTTATTGTTATTATTATTATCATCTTTATTATCATTTCATTATGACCATTATTATCATCGTTATTATTAGTATTATCATTATCACCATTGTTATTATCATTACTACTACCATTATCATTATCATCATTATCATTATCCACATTACTACCATTGTCGTTATTACCATTATCATTATCATCGCCATCCTCCTCATCATTATTACCATCATTATCATCATATCTTTCATCCTCATCTTTATCATTCTCTTTCGCTTGTTTCTATCCTCTCCTCTCTTCCTCTCTTTCGCTTCTCCTTATCGTACCTTGCTTGGTGGAAATTGTGGAAGCAAAGATTTATATTTCTCCTTAAGGAACATAAAAACTTTTATTGTATGCTTATAAATGGTGGCTTGCGTGACTGTTGCTGTGTGGGTGGGAGAGGGAGAGGGAGTGGTGGGAGTGGGAGAGGGAGTGGGGGTGGGTGAGGTGGGAGAGGGAGTGGGGGTGGGGAGTGGAGTGTGAGTGGGGTGGGAGAGGGAGTGGGTGAGGAGGGAGTGGGAGGGTGGGAGGGAGAGAGTGGGAGGGGAGTGGGGGGTGTTGGGATGGTGAGGTGTGAGGGAGGGGAGTGGTGAGGGTGGAGAGGGAGTGGGGGTGGGGTGGTGGGGAGGGTGGGAGAGGGAGTGGGTGGGGTGGGTGGGTGAGGGAGAGGGAGTGGGGTGGTGGGAGAGTGTGGGGTGGGTGTGGGTGAGGGTGAGAGGGAGTGGTGGTGGGTGGAGTGGGTGGGTGGGTGGGGGTGGGAGTGGGAGAGGGAGAGGGAGTGGGTGGTGGTGGGGGAGAGGAAGAGTGGGAGTGGGTGAGTGGAGACAAAGTTGGAGGGTGGGTGAGTATGGAGTGGGGTGGGTGGGTGGATTGGTGGCGGGTATGGGTGGAATGGGAGTGGTGTGTGTGTGTGTGTGTGTGTGTGTTTGTGTGTGACAACACAAAGTTAATTACAGACACGAAAACACGAATAAAAAGGAAGAACAGGATAAAGGGAAAGAAAAAGAAAATGGAAGATAGAACAAATAGAAGCAGAAAGTGTCAAACAAGACAAATAGAAAGTGAGTGTGAGAGAGAGAGAGAGAGAGAGAGAGAGAGAGAGAGAGAGAGAGAGAGGCAGACAAACAAGCAGAAAGTGAGAGAGAGAGAAACTGGCAAAAAAGAGACACAGAAAGGGAGAGACTGAAACACTAATAAAATTGAAAAAAACAAAAACAAAGACGAGTGAAAATGAAAACCAAAGAAGAGAAGGAGAAAAAAATAGAAACACGAAAGGAAATAATAGAAAAGACAGAATGAAAGGAAGAGACTTTAAAGAACATGAGACACGAGACAAAAATGATAATAGGGAGACATAAAAACAAAATGTAAAAATTCAAACACAAAACAAACAAAAATTCAAATGAAGGTCAAGAAATAAAAAATGAATGAAAATTAAAGACATAAGACAAAGAAAAGAAGAACTAAAATGAAAATGAAAAACAAAACAAACAAATGAAGTGGAAGAACAAATAATATAAAGAAAATGACAGACATCAAGACGAAATTATTATAAAAATACACGAAATACACAAGACAAAACGAGTAAAGAAAGACACAGAAAAAACGACTTAGAGAGAAAAACAGACGACAAAGAGGGAAAACAACAAAAGCTTCGAAAATATGGCACTAGGCAACCTCATCCTATCCCTCGCCCAGCTCCCTTCTCTCATAAAGGTACCTTCCGTGTAATAATTAATGACCTGATAAATTATACCCTTAATTGGGATAATTTCTAGCAGGTGGAGGTGATCATTAAGGGTGGAAGGGTGAGAGGGATGGCTTTGTCACAAGTGCATTAAGATTAGATGATATTATGTGCGTGTTCTGTAATAGAAAACGGGAAATTGAATGAGAGAAAACGTGTTGTTTTTTTACGGTTAGACTGAAGGATATGGATGTAGCTGTATATTGTATTTGCATTGTATTGATGTAAATGTAGATGTATATTGAGTGATTAGTATTATAAAGAATTCTGTGGTTTGAGGAGGTTTTAATTAATCATTCATTTATTTATTGCGTGATAGAAAGTATATAAGACGTAATTGAACATGTAGTAACATAAAACAGACTCAAAATACTACATAAATAGTTACATAAAACCGTGGTATTATATACGATTCCTGGAAGTATAATAACAACAGGAATAGAAATGACCTTAGATCTTATTCGTAAACATACATGTGAAGATCCGCTCAAAGGAAAGAAAATCTTTTTCAACAACAAAATACGTACCTATAAATTCATGAATAAACATCAATAACTCATGAATAAGCACTATGTATGCCATGAGTAAGATTTATATCTCATGAGTATCTATAAGTTATAAGAGCTAAAGTTCATGAATACCTATTAATTATGGGTAAACGCTTATAAATGATGAGTATCTATGAATCATGAGTATCTATGAATCTATAACATGGGTAAGTACTGTCATCTGTGACTCACAAATATCTATAAATCATGGGTAAAAATCTATAAATGGTGAGTATCTATGAATCCTGAGTAAAAATCTATCTCATGAGTATTTATCCACGAGTAAAAATATTCCTGGAAGTACGTTAAGGACGTATACATAAATATGTTTATGTTTGTCATGTCCGATTCCGTGCGCGTGTGTCCGGTTGCGTGACAGTCAGCGCGGCCGAACGCGTCCCTGGCTTCCTCCTCTCGCGTGCGTGTGTTTGTTTGTGTCTGCTTTGTGTGGGCGTGGGTACAAAGGGTGTTTGTGTGTATGTACGTGGGCGTGGAATGAACAAATTTATGCTCATGGCTTATGCTTAGCGATGTTAACGTGACACAAAACCACATTCCAGGAGAGCCGGAAGTGACGTCATGAGCAGCCGCGTGGAGGCCGCCCGCGACGCCGCCCACGAGGACCGCTGGGAGCGGCGGGAGTCCCGCGAGGAGCGCCCTTCGCTGCGAGCCAAGTCCTCGGGCGGCGCGTCGGTGATCGTGGTGTCGGAGTCGGGCCGCCTGCTGCGGGCGTCGGCGGCGTCGCTGCCCTCGGTGGCCCGCAGCCTCGGGGGCGGCGGCGGGCGCCTCAGCAGCGCCCAGATCCTGAAGCGGGAGCCGACGTACCTGGACGCGAAGCGGCGGCAGCGCATCCGCAGGACGGTGCACCTGAAGTCGCGTCTGCCCGAGGTGGACGCGGCGCAATCGAAGGCGGACAGCGGCGCGCGGGCGGCCGTGGGCAACGTCAGTGCCTCCGTGAGCGGCGCCGAAGCCACAAGCCCGTCCGACGGCTCCGAGGCCTCGCTGGCCCTGTACAACAACGTGAACGTGCCGAGCCTCGCCTCCGTGCTGGGCCGCCAGGCCGCGCCGCGCCACCACAAGCCCCGGCGGCACCGCCATGACTCGGGGGCGTCCCCGAAGAGCCGCAAGTACGTGCCCTCCAAGAACTCGGTGAGGCGGCCGCTGCTCAACGCCTCCGTCGCCGACGCCCACGGCAGGGCGGTGTGGAGGGCCCCGCACATGGCCACGACCTCGCTGCCGGACCCCGTTAAGCCCAAGATGAGGAGCGCGGGCTGCTGCAGCGGCTGCTGCGCCAAGGTCAGGACGGCGGGGAGCGGCTCCCTGCTCCTGCTGCCCCTCCACTTGCTCGTGCTGGTCCTGCTGCTCTCGTACCTGGTGCTGGGCGCCTTCATCTTCTCGCAG